GGGGGGGGGGGGAGCCAGCCGGCGACGGACGACGAACCGCCCCAGGCCGAGGGGGGATCACCGCGGAGGTCAGATTGGGCTATGGGGCCCGGGCGCCTGGACCTGGGAGTATGGGAAGCATGCTTGCGCGCCGGTCTCCAGCCTCATTCCAGCTCGTAGATACAGGGGCGTTTCCAGGGCAATCTGGCGACCGAGCCTGGCCAAGGGGCGGACTGGGCGCACACGGAGGCCGGAGGGGGGGGGGGGGGGGACCAGAGGGGGCGTGTGAGCCGGACACGTCCATCCTAGCCGGCGCGTGCGGGCAGGAATTAGCACCCATCTCCGTGGCGGTGGCCAGCAAACGAGGACACCCCGCGGCCAATGACCGGCCCCCAACTCCCGGGCTGTTGTTCCCCGGCCTGAGGCCCGGGTGGGCTTGGTAATGGCAGCCCGGGCGCGAGCGAACTAGCCGGTCGGCGGCCCGGCCGGCCGCGCCGGCACGCGCTCGTACACAGGTGTGTGTGTGTGTGTGTGTGTGTGTGTGTGTGTGCGCGCGCGCGCGTACGTGGTACACGGCCGAAGTGTGCCTGGACCGCGGCAGGTCCCGCCAGGGGCACCTCACTTCTGCCCGTGCGCGGGATGCCTGCCGACCGGGGCCGGATCTCGGCGACCGGGCGCGAGCAGATGCGAGGGGCGGTACTGTGGCTGCCGCTGCCGCGCGGCATCACCGGCCGGCCCTTTGCCCGAAGGCCCTTCGGTGCAGGCATGCCGGAGGCCACTGGGCCGCGGCGCGGGGGGGGCGCGGGGGGGGGGGGGGATGAAGGGGGCAGTGCGAGCAGGTGTTTCAGGGGGGGGATAGGCTGCATAGTGACCCCCTTGGGTGCGGCAAGTCGCGCCCCGCAGCCTCGGTGTGTACCCCCTGCGCCGGGGGGCGGGAGCCGGGCCGGGCCCAGGGGCGGGGGAGTGGGGTCGAGAGCGGCGGGCGGCGGGCGCCAGATCGGGCGCGCCCGAGCTCTCCCTCGTCCGACTTGTCGGCGGGGGGGGGGGGGGGGGGGGCGGAGACCGCCGCGAAGGCCCGGCGCGCCCGGGCGGGGCGTCCATGTGCACGCTCGGACTCCGGCGGATCTGGCCCGCTCGGCCCGCCTCGGTCCGTGGCCGGGGATGGCCCGGCTCCTGCGGCCGCACCGGCCGGCGCCGCCGAGAGCTCAACCGACAGCGGGCCATCCGGACCTCCCCCCCCGCGCGCGTGTGTGCCCCCTCGGCGCAAGGGGCCTGAGAAAAGCCAGCGGGAACTGGACACCAAGCCGGAGGTTGGGGCTACTTGTGGCCGGGCCTCGGGGCGCACGATGAGTAAGCCACCGCGCCCAGCGGGGCAGGTGTTGCCGAGCATAACACGCGCACACGCACAGGGGTGTTCGGATTGCGGGACCCGGAGACCGGGCCTCGCGCGGTCGGCCGGCCGAAGGGGGCGCCCGGCCGCGAGGGGCGAAGAAGAGGAGCCGGCCGGGGGGAGCCACGCGCGGGAGTCTCGGCCGCCCACGCCGGTCAGCCAGGAGACGCCGTGAGGGCGGTGGCCCCGCCGGGACCGGCGCTATGTCCTTGTTGCGCGGGCGCCATTATTGTCGGGGAATAAAAATGCCCGCCATATTTGTGGTGGGCCGCCGCAGGCGGCCAGCCATCCGCACCTTGTCGCGGATGCTTGTTTCTGTGGCCCTTTGTTTCTTCCGGGCTTCTCTCTCTCTCTCTCTCTCGCATCCAGGCTGCCTGGCGCGTGGTACGCCTCGCCGAGAGTGGATGGCCTGGCACCGGGCGATGCGCCGGCCCGTGAGCGTGTGTTTGCTCCGGGGCACACCGCGATATTCCATCCCCCGGGTGCCGGCCGATTGCCCCGGGCCCTATCGCCACCCGAGCACAACCCAGCCACCAACGGAGCGCAACATATCACAACACGGCGCAGCACCGCACATATCCCACACCACACCGGCGCCCGGCCCCTTGCACACTGGCCTGCGGCTGTTGGCTGGCGCGCACCGGGCCCTCCGGTTCGGTTCGGCTCGGCCGCAGCCTGTCCCTCCCCCCTCCTCGCGCCCCCTCCGAAGAGGAGGTCTCATATGATGGCGGCCGGCCGCGGCGGCCCTCGCCGCCGCCGCCGCCGCCGCCCTCACCACGGCCAGCCTCCCCAGAATTGGGAGGCTGCATGTTGGCATCGGCCCGCGCATCCGCGCGCGCGCGCGCACCCACAGCTGCGCAGACGTGTGCTCGGGCGTGATACACGAGAAGAGTGAGCGCACGAAGGAGCCTGCCCGGCGCGCTGGCTCCCGGCCGCCGCCGGCCTCCGGGGCATGGGCCGCCGGCAGCCCCGAGGAGGGCCAGCGCGAGGCGGCGGGGAGCTCGGCCCCGGGCAGCCCCCCCCCCCCGGTCGCTCCTGCCAATACGCCGGCGATGGCACACACCCGCCCGAGGCACAAAATAGCACCATAGCCTCTCTGCCGGAGGAGGACTCCAGCCGAGGGGAGGCCGGGCGCGCCGGGCCAGGTCCATCCTCCCGGCCCCCGTCCATGCGTCCCGGGCCATTGGCCCCCACCCACGAGGCCACCGGGCTCCGCCTGCCCGGCTGTGCACAGCCACGGGCTCGCATGGCCCAGCGTGGCCCTTGACCGCCGGTCACGGCAGGCGCCCTCGCCGCCCGCCCGCCCGCCCGCCCGCCCGCCCGCCCGCCCGCCCGCTGCCTCCCTGCCTCTCCGGCCCGCTCGCTCCCTCTGTCCCTTGGCCTCTCTCACACGGGGGGCGGGGGCGCCGGGCGATTTCAGGGGCTATTTGCCGGGGCAGGGCGCCGGCCTCGAGTACATTGCGCCCGGAGTATCGGGGGTTCGGGGGACATCCCTGGGAGCAGCCTGTGGGATCGGGTTCATTTGTCCGGACGCCGGGCGCCGCGCGTGCCCGGGGAGGGGGGTCGTTTTCGCATATTGGGGGGAGATCCACCTGTTCCAACGGACCGGGTCGCCTGAAAATGTGTATCCAACCTCAAACTCGCTGTGCTGAATGGGGCAAGCGCTGACTTCGCCGACCGCGGCCGGTCGGGGCCTCCTCCGGCGGCCGGCGCTCGGCCGGTGCTCCGTGCTCCCGTGTGTGTGTGTGTGTGTCCGGCGGCAGGGGCTGCGAGGTCGCCGATGTGTATGTGTGTGTGTATGTGGGCGAGAGGGGTGCGGGGCCGGGAAGCGGGGCCAACCGGGATGTGGGGGGGTGCGCCGGGGCGGAGGGATGCGACGCGGGCTCCCCCCGATGATGGTGCCCGGGGGAGGAGGCGGTCGGCTTACGCCCCCGCCCCCCCCCCTGGACGCGACGAGGCGCTGGGCAGGGCCGGGGCAGGGGGGGAGCGGGCCGGCAACGCCGTCAGCACCGAAGGCGGCGCCAGAGGGGGAGAGAGAGAGCGAGAGACAGCGCAGGGCGGAGATGGCGCGCGTGCGCGCGTACGCGCGCGTGGCGCCCGACACCGCGTCCCATGCACTCGCCCGCGGCGCCGGGGTCCGCCCACCGGCGCGCAATGGAACTTGCCGGCTCCCGCGCCGAGGACGCACGGAACGGCGGCGGAGATGCACCGGGGGAGGGGGGACGGGGGGAGGGAAATGCACCCGCAAGCCCGTATCAACTGAGAGGAGATGGCACCATCGAGCCGTCAATTTAAATCTGAAACTCGCGCGCGATCCCCCCCCCCCGCCCCGGCGGTCCGGGCATTCTTGGTGGAGGACGTTTCACTGGGCCCGCTTCAACTGCCCGGCGGGGCCGCCTTCCACACCTTCCTGCCTGACTCCGGGCGGCCGGGCCGGGGAAGGGGGCCCCGAGCGGGGGGGGGGGGGGGGGTGGGGGGGAACGGCGCTCAGCGGAGTGTGGCAGCGCCCGGGCAAGTCAAGGGGGGACGGGCCCGGCCGGCCCGTCTTGCATGTCCGTCGCCCCATCTGCCGCCCCCCTTGTGAGGCGGCCGGCGGTGCTCCCCCCCCTCCCCCCGCACCCCCGATGCACCTCGCCGTGTGGACAATCTCCACCCGGCGGCCGATGCGTGTGAGCCGGCGCCGGCCGGCGCCCTGTTTCACCCCCTTCGTCTGGGGACATTCATCATGCCGCGGCCGCTTTGGTCGTGGGTAATTCGCCCGTCACCGTCACCCGGGGAGCAGGCCCCCGAGGAGCCGGTCCCCCCGCCGCCCTCCTCCCCGGCCTGCGAGAGGGAGACATACCGCCAGAGGCCCACCAGGTCCCCCGCCACCCCGGGCCCGGGCGCGACCACCGCCGGTGCCGGGAGACACACTAGCCGTCGAGCGGCATCCCGAACTGAAGGCCCCCCGGATCCGCGAGGGACTCTCCCCGCCCCCGCCCCCCCCCCCAGCCCCGGGGACCAGGGGGCGGACACACTTGTGGGGCCGGCGGCCGGCCTCGATTGGCGCGCCGGAACGCAATTATTCCGACGTCGGCCCGAATGGACGCCGGTGCTTCGGCCGACCGAGGCCAAGTTCGCCCTTCGCCCGCCGGCCGCGCCCCCTACCGAGGTGCTGGACCTCGGGGGGGGGAAATTGCACAGCGCCGCCGGCGCCCCGTCCTCCCTCGCGCTGGCCCCACATTCACGTAGTGCTGGCCGGGCCCTTCGTCGGCCGGCGCCGAATTCGCGCGACCTGGAGACCGGCGCTCACGCCCGCGCAACTCCGGCGCGCTCCTCCGACCGTGGGCCAGAGCATGGTGCCTCCCCTGCGCCCGCCCGCCCGCCCTCCGTCCTGGGGGGAATCTCAGAACGCCGTCTGTCCGCCAGCCGCCTCCCACGCCCAGCCGAGCGCGCCCTCGCCGCCGGGACCCCCTTTTGGCCCCCCTCCTGCTGGCGCATCCGAGAATTCTCCCCCTCCTCCCCTGGAGGGGTGGTCCCCTGTGGCCCCTCGAGACTCCACCTGCGGGCACACGCTGCGCTCCTTGCCCCCCCCCCCCC